TTAAAACTAACATATAGCTAACTAACATAGCTTTCAAATTGTCATTTTAAAACTGCATTGTAAAATTTCTTTTATGGATTTTAGTTTTGGTGCGCCACCCCTTGTTTTTTCATTAGCTACCCCATGGCCCCCCCTGAAATTTTTTCTGCAGGCGCCACTGACTGTAACTATTTAGTTATTTAAGTTAAAATACAATAAAATCCAAATATCCCAGAATATGAAAGGAAGAAGACATTATGAAAAAAAAATGGGCTAAAATATAAGTTCCCAAAAATAAGCACCCGGAGAATCCAGAAGAAAAAATAAAAACGGTGATTTCTGCTGAAYATTCCTCATCGTTTGTGTTTTTGCTGTTTGATTCTCTCAGGTGTGCACTCACAGCCGCTCAGGCAGCCTGGATGCCAACTGTTCAGTGTTCAGGAAGGAGGCGGCCCTGCTGGCCTCGCTGCAGCAGAACCACCTCCACCAGCCCRCGCACTACAACAACCAGCAGCAGCACGCCCTCGCCGCGCACAGGAAGAACCTGGACGGCCCGGCCAGCAGCACCAGCCACGCCGCCAACCCCGGCCTCAGCGCCAGCCTCTACAACAGCCTCAACACCCTGCTGAGTCAGACGCACAGCAGGCAGCCTCCCTACGGTAACAACCACAGCGGTGCCCGACTCCCGCCCGACTCCCTCCACCCGTTCAGCAGCAGGGTCGCCTCAGAGACACAGAGGACCAACAACAGTAAGATCGACMGAGAAAAAACACATTTATCTCTTCTTCCAGTCCTCCAAAACACAATCTTTGTCTTTTTTCCCCCATTATCCAGGAGACCTCAGCCTGCTGGACAACACACAACCTTCCAGTTCCTGGAGGTCAGAGTTCACAGGTCATGGTCTTAATAAGGAATACAACTCTTCCTCCCCCTCTCTCACCCCCCTCCTCCCACCTCAGGCTTACCTCTCTCTTGACGGACAAAATGGAGAAGAGGGAGAAGAGGAGAATATTGTTTACCTCTGAGACTCATGAAATGAGCAAAGCAAGCTGTCGCGTCGATAACTGAACAAGTAGCTTCTGTGTGTCTGTGTTTGTTTCTATTTACATTCAGGAAGTTAAAGTTCAAATYATTTGAAGTTGKGTTCTGTGGAAGGGATATGAAKAATTAGTATCTTACCTGTTCAGGTCAGTTTAAAGAAAGATTTTAATTCTGACTGGACTGAGGAGCTAATGGCTAACTCAAGAGGGGCCAAGATCAAAGAGGTTTGCGACTGTCTTAACACAAYCTAATCTGAGAAATATCATAGTGGTTCATGCAAACATAACTTTTGCATTGCATGGTTATTCTGGCAGAAATGTTAAAATATTCTTGGAAAAAATGCAAAAAAACAACAACAATGAGCTACAGCTAGCTACCGCTACTGCCACTGAGTTGTTTTAAGATGGAAACAATCCCCTTTGGTCTTGACCCCACTCAGACTAGTCATTAGCTCATCACTCTTGTCAGACTGAAACTTTTTTCCTTCACTGAGGTTATTTCAAAAACCTATCTACAGCAGGTAAGATGCTAACTGTACTTTTCTACAAAGCTCCACTTTAAAGGATCTGGATTGTCACTTTGAGTTAATTTAAAATCTGAATATTTATTTAAAGCCAAGTTTATGGGATAAATCTTGTGCCAAYAGGAAGTGAATTTAAATTGCTCAGACTGAATCTATCCATCCATCCATTTTCTGTACACGCTTCTTCCTTTTCAGGGTTGCGTGGGTCACTGGTGCCCATATCCAGCAGTCACAGTGCGAGGGGCGGGGTACACCCTGGACAGGTTGCAAGTCCATCACAGGGCCGCACATAGAGACAAACGAGACAAACAACCATTCACTCTCTCACTCACACCTAGGGACAATTTAGAGTTATCAATTAAYYTAACAGTCATGTTTTTGGTCTGTGGGAGGAAGCCGGAGTACCCGGAGAGAACCCACGCATGCACGGAGAGAACATGCAAACTCTACCCAGAAAGGTCCCCAGACCAGGATTTGAACCTGTGACCTTCTTGCTGAGAGGCATCAGCTCTACCAACTGAGCCACCGTGCCGCAGACTGAATCTGAATGTACATAATTTGAAATTGAATGCATTGGTTTGAAAATGAATTTGACTAAATTGAAACTGAATTTAATGATTTGAAACTGATTTTAAAGTTTTTATTAGAATTAATTTGCTTTGAAACTGTATTTTGGTTTATTAAAAAATCAGTTTGAGTAATTTCACTTTCAGTTCCAAAATTCAGATTTTTGTGTCACACATCCTGGTCTTAGAGAAAGCCAGGCAGAGTAATCAAACACAGATCCACAGATTTATGTYTCACTTTGGTGAAGTTTCCCTTCTGTAACGAAACAGAGTTGATGCAACCCACCGTAAAAGTGACAAAAACAGACAAAGTTATTTTATTGCAGTGATTAAATTTACCTATAGAAAATGTTACATTTACATCAACTCTGTTACACACAGAAGAGAAATTTCACCAAAGTGAAACATAAATCTGTTGATCTGTGTTTGATTACTCTGGCTGGCTTTCTCTAAGACCAGGATGTGACACAAAAATCTGAATTTTGGAACTGAAATTGAATTATGGAGAACTGAAAGTGAAAGTAGTCAAACTGAATTTTTAATAGACCAAAATACAGTTTCAAAGCAAATTAATTCAGATACAAATCATTAAATTTAGTTTCAATTTAGTGAAATTTATTTTCAAACCAATGCATTCAATTTCAAATTATGCACATTCAGATTCAATGTGAGCAATTCAGATTTAGTTCCTGCTGGCACAAGATTCATACCATACAAGTTGTCAGAAAGACGTCCCCAAAGTATGTGCCTTTTTTTTGTGAATCTAAATCCGTCTATGTCTAGTGAYGAAACCATTGTGCCTTTTTTATTTTTGACAAAAAAAAAAAACACTCTTGGCGAAGCAGCTTCAGTACCTGTTCTTGTGTTGTTGTTTTTTTTACTGCGACTATGTTTGTTTGTTGCACTTGTGTGAAGGCAAAGGTACATTTGTGTTAAAAACACCTAAAACACTAATTAAATTAGGACCCTTATTTTTGATGTAATTTTTGCAAGAGCACTTAAAATGAAAATAAGTTGAAAGTCAATCAATCCCACATCAGATTAATGTGTTGTTTATATATTTTCCTTGTTTTTCTGTGTTGCCTTTAATGTATATTTAAAAGTGATTGTACGCATCTGAGAAACAAACTGACATTATTGTATATACAGTATATTTAATATATGTTTATTTTTATGAAAATGCTATCCACGCACACCTTTGATCTTATACAGTATTCCTGCTTTTTTTTTAAACTCTCTCGAAAGTGCCAAAAACTTTGCTGACGCTGTAATGGATGTAAAAAATGGGTTCATTGTTGACTGGTGTTAACAATGCTTCATGCACTGCCAAGTTTAGTTTGTTTTTTATTAAGTCTCGTCTTTTAATCTCCTGAAACATGCTTGTAATGTGCCATATTAATATTGTGTATATAAAAGTACCGTGGTAAACATTCAGTTTGTGCTTTTTCTTCGTGTGAAGAGCTGTACATTGATCTGTCTTGATAGTTACACGCCGCCCATGAGTTCCTGTGCTGTCTTACGCAATACTCTTTTTGACTTTTAGAGTAAGCAAACTGTTCAACACTGAGTCATGAGGCTTCCAGTAAGTCAGTGGCCAGAGTCCTAGTCCTGTTTTTTCAGCTGCAGAGATGAAAAGTGTCACAGTGTTCAGCTCCCACCTGCTCAGGTTGTTTCTCATATTCTTTAAGCACCAAGCTGAAAGCTGCAGTGATGCTGGTAAGATGGATTTTTGTTTTAAGTTGTCTTAAAGTTCCTTCCTGTAGTTTTTCATGAGCTGTATTTTCATCTTGTGCCAGGTTCTCCACCACTAAAACCAACAATCCATCATTTGGAGGCTGTTAGTGACAAGCAGAGCCTTGTGGTGAGCTGGTTGAGAAACTATGGAGCCTCAGAAAATGACATTTGCGAGATCCAGATCAGCCGAACTGAAAGCTACAACATTATTTACGCTGTGAGTAGTTCGCTTGTGTGAAAATTGGTTTGATTTGAATTTAAAATAATTGATTTTCATTCCATAAAAATTGATTAAAAATAGATATGTATGTGAAAATATCTACAAAAGCTGCGTCTTAAAATTATTTTCTTTATTCTGTAAAACATTTCTGTTCCTTCACATTTTTATTTATTTATTTTATTTGTAAATGAAAGAAACTGGAACAAACTTGCTCATTTTAAACTGACTGCAAACTTTAAATAAAAAAAGATAAATTTAGGCAAAATTTGCAACAAACTCATTTTCATTTCTAGTTTTTCAGTGTTTTTGCTTCATATAACCAGAAATGGTTGAATCTTGTTTTGTTTTATCCTAATTAATTTAATGGTAGCACCAGGTAAGTACCAGTTACATATCTGGTTAGTAACCAGTGGATACCAGGTTAGTATTGTTTACTCAGTGTATGTARTTAAGTATTTGTGATGCTACCATTGTGCTTTTGCTGTAAACACCATGTTGCAACAATGGACAGCTAACTCTTTTGTCTTATCTTTTTGTGTTATTATTCATCCTTTTGTATTAGAGTTAACACCTGATGTGTGTTTGTTGCTCTAGGAAAATGTGAGCGTACCGGCCGGAGACTCCAATAAATACTCGTGGACGTGGACCTCTGACTTGCCTCTCGAGTGTGTCGATCACTCTGTCAGGATACGGAGCTTCTGTAATCAAACGGCCCCGAGTCCTTGGAGCGACTGGACAACCAACCGTGGTGAGACACACTTTGTTTTTCACGAGTGGTTTAAGATCAAATGCAAAGTTTTTGCATCTTTCTGCAGTTTCACTGATAAGATAATGATGTCACTTAGTGATATAGTTGTTAAGTAAGCAGGGGATTTTTTTTGCATCAACTAACATGTTATGTTCACAGTGTCTGAAAAACGGCACGAGAATTGTTTTTCTTGTGACTTTTAGAACTTGTTCAATAGTCTAATTTCTTGGACATCTTGACCATGCACAGAGTATATATTGGCCAGCACTTAGACTAATACAGCTGAACGGATTCATTTTTATCTGTCTTTTAGGAGTCACAATAGAGCACAAGACAAGGATTTTCCCCTCCAAGCGAATGCTGAGGGAAGGAAGCAGTGCCATGTTCTGCTGCGTTCCACGAGCAGGAGTCAGCATCACAAGCATCACTTTCAGCAACAACCCATACCCTCTTCTGAGCGTCGGTGCCAGGGTTAAAGCTATTTCTGTAAACAATCTGACGATCCCAACCACCCGCTTTAAAACATTGACCGTCACTTGCACTGACTCAACAGGCGAGACTGTTTATACCGCAAACAATATCAGCTGTAAGTAAGATCATGTTTCGTTCACTTCATGAAGAATTGAGGATGTGAATAACCGCGTCCACCATGTAGTTCCTCCTCAGAAGCCCAGAAACCTCAGCTGTGCAACCTCAGACATGAAAACCGTCGCCTGCAGCTGGGATTCAGGGCGGGTGCGAGACCAGTTTGACCGCAACAAACAAAAACACACGCTCTACGTAAAGTAAGCACAGTAACACACATAATGCCAGGATTCACAGGAGAGTGCAGAGATTCTTTGGTCCAGTTTGGTTTGTTTTAACTGGTTCTGTAGGAGAATGCATGATCTCGGAGTTCATTTTGGAGTTTAGCCTCTTAGGACAGTTAGAGTCCTGCTTTAGAACCAGACCAGTACTGTGTGGCAAATCGGACATCACAGAGAGCTGTGTTGGTTCTCTTTTTCTGTGAACTTTCAGGAACTCGGACCAGGCTCCCATCATTTGTGAGCCGTCATCGTGTACTTTTCCAGCTGTGGCACAGCTGCAGGAGTACAACATCCTGGTGGAGGTGAAGGACCAGCTGGGAGAGGAGTCTGAGTCCTACAGCTTCAACATCTCTGACAGAGGTCAGAGGTCGATTTAAAGGGGCAATATTATGTGTTTCTCAGGCATGCATTTAAATACTCTTACCATAATAAAGTATCTATATCACCTTTAGTTGTTATTAAAATGTTGTTTTTAAGTTTAAATAGAAAATAAGCTTATCTTCTCATCACTTCCTCTTCTAAACGCCTTGAAATTGGCCTCTGTCTCTTTAAGAACTTCCTTCTGCTTCTGTCCCCCTGTGTGTGCGCTATGATGCAGTTTACTTGGCATCTGAAAATACATTTCCTCAAAGGTATTTTGAATCTGAAAAGAGCTTCACTGAGTGAGCAGTAGTGTTAAGAGCAGCAGACAGTTTAAGTTTCACTTTCAGTTTGCTTTGTTACTGCCAAGAGCCTGCAGGAGTCATGGGGCGTTTCTAGTCCCCACCTGTCGTTTTGCTCCTCAGCAYGGCTGCGTAAAAACGCTGCAGGATTTCTCAAACGTGCATGAATGAGTCAAAGCAAGGCTTTGGGCATGTTTTTTATGAGAGTTTAACATTATAACATGATATAAAACTCAAAAATGTTGATTTTACATGATATTGCCCCTTTAACAATACACAATACGGGACTTACAATTTTAAACCTGAAGCATTTCAGTTTTTTTTGTTGTTCTACTTAAATATGAGTTTTAATCGAACCCTCTTTTTATATTTTGCACTGCCATTAGTGCTTCCTGTGTTGGACTGGGACAAAGTAATTCATGGGGTGATGGACGTCCTCTTGTCCTGGAGTGTTCAGGGAAATCTGAAGAATCTCTTCTGTCAGGTTCAAACCAGTCCAGGGAGCATCACAGAGGTAATTTACGTCCTACCTGCTGCAGAACCGAAAACTGGACATTTTAAAAGCCGTTAATTGCATTTTGTTGTGGACTTGGAGTCTCTAAGGATGCAGAAAATTGGAATTTAATCTCTCCTGGTGCTGCGTAGATATCTTTATCGTCCATCATATTTATCAACGTGTTCAGTTTTCTCTGTTTCCTATTAAACTATTACATCACAGTTTTTCCAACAGAACTTCTAAATAAGGTCTGGACTTACCAACTATAGTTTGGTGGTCTTCTTTCTCCTCTGGCTCTGGGTCAGACTCTGGCTCTTGGATGGACAAGTCTTGTTGACATCTTTGAATTAATTTGTTTTAAAAAATGGAGTGGAGACATCCTCAAATAAGAGGGAAAGGAAGATTTGTGAAGTTACAATAAGGATGAATTCAGACCTAATTGCAGTTCCACTTTATAAAGACCACAACTGAAGGATTTAAATGTAAAAAAGGAAGAATTTAAAAGCATGACATGTCTCCTAAAATCTTCCCACCAGCTGATTTGCAACAGTGGGAGTGATTTCTGCAAAGTCAAAGTGGAGCACCTCCAACCCAACACGCATTACTCTGCAAGGGTGCGCTGTTCTGTCGACGGCAGACTCTGGGGAGAGTGGACACCAAACACATTTTTCACAACATGTGAGTACTGAACCAGGATGTGGTCAAACCCAAATTAAGTCAGCTTTCCAATCACAATAATGTCAGCAATAAAAAGCCCCAAATTAAACCACCAAGTACGCAGTCAATGAATGAAAGACATCATGATTTTATCAACCAAACCAACAAAGACATCTTTTCATTTCTTTTTATCTTTTGCTACTTTTTGCAATTTTACAGGGAAGTATGTTAAACTCACATTATGAGTCCTGTCCATCAAAACTTTACCTTATTAGAACTTTCTATCAAATAATGGTTGTGTTTAAACAGATCCACTGGTGACCTTAGACTTATGGAGGAGAATCCAGCCTCTGTCTGCCTCTGATGATCGTTGTGTTACTTTATTGTGGAGCTCGGTACGTTTTTTTTCTTTAAAACTCATTTGTTTTACAAGAACTTTTGTCTTCTTTACGTGAATCCTTTCAACTCTCAGTAACTCAGCTCATCCTCAGGAGGCTGTTGGTGGTGGAGCGACACCAGTAATCATCCAAGGCTACCGACTGGAGCGGTCGCAAGGAGGCGAGACCTCGATGGAAGTGAAGGACAGCGGGCAGAACCAGGCCGTAGTCTTCATCGGTCCTGGAAGGTGTGACGTCACGGTTCGAGCTGTGCTTCAAACTGGCTCCTCCGTCCCTGGAAACATCACCGTCCCGCCGAAGGACGTCACAGGTAAACAACCAGAACACAAACAGTTGAATAAATAAATAAAACTTTAAACAGCTTGTATAAAGTATTGTAGTATTGCAGAGTTGTAAAGCAACTAAGTACAAATACTTTAGTGTACTTAAGTAGAAATTGTAGTTGTCTGTACTTTGCTTGAGTAATTATTCTTCAGCTTACTTTTTACTTCGACTCCTTACATTTTCACACAATTATCTGTACTTTTTACTCATTACCTTTTTTTAAAGACAAGAAGTAGAAAGTCATTATTTTTATTTCATTTTTGCTTGTTTTCATATGGTTTGTTATTGTTAAAAACATACTATCCATAAAAATTGTGCTGCAAATGACACAAATCATGCCACTCTCCAGGACATAGCATATATA